AAAAAAGACACACGCTAAAATCCGGTTCAATCCACTCAGGCTCCACATTTGAATGATTGTAAACGTGTCGATCTGGGGGATACCCCCTATAGGATGAACGCTCACCGAATCGTTGTAAACTACGGCTCTCGCCTTCCAACAACACACAATAACCAGTACAATCGAATCTAAAAATGTTGACAGAAACAAAATTTGAACATCTTCAACCATGTGTACTGACAAAACATACATTTCCACAAATCTGGACCCATCCTCACCCAACATGGTTTCGCATCTCTGACTTGTTGCGGAATTGAAACGAGAAATTTCTCCAGACAAGCGATAAATTTCTATCTGAAAAAATGAAGCAGATACAAAAAAATTCCAAAACCATGATGAGCAATCAAAAAACAGGTAGACTTGTAACAATGAGAAGAGATACAACCTGTCCGTCATTGAAGTAACGAATACTTCTACCATTTGCTAATAATACCACCGTTATCCCAGCAATACCATAGTAATATACCTGTAGATAGTACCTTATGATCTCTGTGGACTCAGAAAAAAAATTCCAAGTTACCTCAATACTGCGATCGCAACTAAGCCATCGTACATCTGTATTACTGTACTCAAAGAAATCACAACCGCAGTCAGTAGTAGTTACTTTTGTCCAATCTCCTGAAGGAATTAACAAACAAACCTCCTATATATATGAGGGCGAAAGTTCTTATGAATGTATGTATGTAATGTATGTTTCAATAAAAATTTTTGGCATCGGTCAAAGGCCCAAGCCTTACCCACATACTTTTCCAATGGCGTTCATTTCTGAATTTTTGGCAGGTCATTTTCACTAATAAAGTGATTCAATTGTTACTACTCAAGCAAGATCGTGTAAACGCATCTAGTTTTGAGTGGAGGTACGTTGAAGCGAGTAGCTGCCATATGGATTAGCACTAACAGTCGGGGTACAACGATCGTAAGGGAGTAGTAGCCAGATTGTGCGCTAGTACTTTGAGTCGCAAATAAAGAAATAAGGGAAAAAGATATCAATCAATTAGAAGGATTACGTTAGCAGGCATCCAAACTTCAGCTCTATTGAATTACAGGAAAAATTTGTAGGCTCACGTATTGACACCAGGAAGGGGATGGAGAAGGGGCCTCGAGATATGCTTGCGACTCTGCACTTCCACTTCATCTCTATGATTGTAGCGCACCTCAGTTACTACTTGGTCAGGCAATGGTTTTAACTTTGAGTGTTGCTCAATACGACTTTATAAGCGACCACACGACGTAAGATTCCAGCAACAGGAAAACGCGATACAGCAAAAACGGACATAAAGGTTAACTACAGCTACAAAGCACCACAAAAATTAGGTTGCAGGTCGTATATCATAAAATGTATAGGACCGA